GCCCGACGTGGGGCTCAAACTCACAAACCGTGAGATCATGACCTGAGCTGAAGTCTGGAGCTTAACCGACTGAGCCACCCAGGCACCCCGAGCGTCCAACTCTTGATCAGTTCAGAAACATTACTTCACTCATCATGCTACCAGAGTTAGCCTCTTTAATCTGTCATTAGAATGTTTGTTTTGTCTAATAATTATCTAGTAGAATGGATCTTTGGTAAAGTAACCTACCCACACTTCTGAAGATCCTGTCATCTCTGGGAAAAAGTAATGTTGCTATAAATTGGTGGGGTATAACACCTTATTTCACTCAGTTAAATCTTAAAACAAAAAATCCTAATTAGAAAAACAACTTAGTTGTATAACTTAAACTAAATCATGAAGCCTCCAGGAGTTTTTCATGTCCTCCCTATCTCCACACATAGCTCAAGAAGGATGAGATGATAACCTGTTTCTCAGTGGAACCCAGAATTTTATTGCCATAGCAGATGGATCCAGTTGCCAGTTCTCACTTCATATAGATCGAAACCTGCTTCTCATTGTTCTTCCAATCACACTATTTGCCTGGAACCAAACTCATCTGAATTACTTAGAAATAGTTTTAAAAACTTTTTCCTGCTTATGTTCAAATGAGGACTCAGACTGGTAGTGGCGATATCAGATATCATGAGTGTTATGAATACATATCACATGGGATAGAAGAACTCTCCTTGTAAAAGAACCAGAGGAGGTCATCTTACAGATATTTCTTTGCTTTTCTTTATTGGCATTTTGGCAATACATTTTGTGACATTTGTGTTAAGCTAAATTCAAGGATGATTTGGGATATGAAAGATCAAATACACAGGCACTTAACCTGTGACTAAAGTCAAATCGTCTGTCACTAATACCCAGGAATATTTCCTCCCCTAAAAGTTCTCTATTCTTACACTGATAACATAAATATCAAAGTATCATGTTCCCAGCAACTCTGTGAAACCCTCTTTCAAAGGAGGTTATCTCCTGGCTCTCCTAAACAAAATGCTAACAATATATCTGAAAGTCTGAGCATAGTCTGTTTTTTGCTACAGTCATGCATTTATCTATCGATGGATGAAGACAAGAAATACAAATATGGGCTCAAAATGAACTGTGCTAATTTTTATTTTCTTAATAGGCCTTTTATTTTTCTGGAAGTAGAGAATAAATTTTAAAAAAACTGATTAAGGGGAGCCTGGATGGCTGAACTGATTGAGTGGCCAACTTTTGATATTGGCTTAGGTAGCAATCTCCTGGTGGTAGGATTGAGCTCTGTGTCAGTTCTGGGCTGAGCATGGAGCCTGCTTGGGATTCTCTCCCTCCCTCTCTCTTTCAAAATAAATAAATAAACATTTTTAAATTTTTTTAAAATAAAATACCAATCAAATAAAATATTGATATACAACATAACATGTAATATAGATTGCCATGAATAAATTTCTCATATCATAACCAGAGTTATCATTGGGAAGAAAGAAGATACTAATGTGGAATGAAGGAAGTCAAAGAAATGCTACTGGGGGTAGGATCAGAACAGAAGTAATCAGTATGAATTCATGATTAAGTATAGATACATACATGTTTGGACTTTTTCCTTTTATCTGTTAAAAGTGCCTAGTAGCATAGAGCACATCTAGCACCCAGATCTTGGTTTCTAGGTATCATCCTCCATGAAAAGGAACCAGAGATCCTAGGAAATCTCCTAGGAGAAAGGAGAAATGGACTGTAGCTAGGACAGTACAAGACAAGTCTGGAATATCTTCTTATGCCAGAAAGCAAGGGAGTGCCCAAAAGGATACAGGAGCCTGCTTGAAGGACTACCACCAGCTGAATCTAGGAAGTCCAGCCAAATCCAGAACAATCTGAGCATTGATAAGGTAAGTAAGAGACTGCAATCCATTAAATAAAACAGAAATTCATGAGTCCATACTGATCGTATATAAACAATAAAGAAATAAATACAGAAAGTAGAAGGGATGGCTCTTCCCAACAGTAAAATGCCAACTCATAAATACAGAGAAAGGGATAAGAGTTGAAAATTGTCATTTTGCAATAATCAAAATATTCATTCAATCAGTATCACAAACGATATATAGAATACTTTATTTTCTTCTGAAATAATAAAATAAAATCCAAGACCTATAGATTTATTTTCATACAAGTTTTCCTAGATAAAAATGAGGGCTGTAATTGGTTTTAAGACAACTCTACTATGCTGTAATCACAGTGGTAAAATTCTGTTCTGGTGAAAATTGGTACTTTGTTAACATCAAGCTTCATAGTTTGAAAGAACACGTAAGAAGACTGATAAAAGGAAATAAGAATGGTTCCTTTCCTCAGCTCCCAACACACAGCATATATTACTTCTCGGGGAAGCGTAAAACTATTGTCTAGAAGCCAGAAAGGAAGAAAAAAAATAAACTAGAGAAAGTAAACTAATCTACAGAGTTTGAAATAGAGGAAAACAGGTGTGGAACTCTGGTTCTAGGTTTAAAACAATTTTATTTGAATTAATAACTACATAAAAATTAACCATATATCATTTTCTTGAGCAAAGGAAGAAGCCTAAGTCAGAGTTAAAATACACTGAGAATGGACAATTAAAGCAGTACTACAAGAGTCTATTGGCCCCTGCTGGCCTATATCATTAAGTTGTATACTTACCATGGGTGGGTTTTATAGCATGCAAATTATATCTCAATAAAAAAAAAAAAAAAAAAAACCAACGGGGTGCCTGGGTGGCTCAGTCAGTTAAGCGGCCGACTTTGGCTCAGGTCATGATCTCGCGGTCCGTGAGTTCGAGCCCCGCGTCGGGCTCTGTGCTGACAGCTCAGAGCCTGGAGCCTGTTTCGGATTCTGTGTCTCCCTCTCTCTGACCCTCCCCCGTTCATGCTCTGTCTCTCTCTGTCTCAAAAATAAATAAATGTCAAAAAAAATTTAAAAAAAACAAAACAAACAAACAAACAAAAAACAAAACCCTGCTGTCATTTATTGAATACCATAACAGGAATTTGCACTAGGGTTTAAATAGCACTGCCTTCAGTGATATGCTGATAAATTTTTAAAAACCAGTTGACTGGTAGAAAGAATGTTTTAGCACATGATTTACAAATAATAAAAATCACAAGACTCCTTATTGTAATTCCATACACTTCAGTGTAACCTGCTATTTCTTGCAAAATCCACTATCACTTTTTATAATTATTTCACCAACAAGTGTCAAGAATTCAAACTATAAATAAATGCTTGATTTTTATCCGATTCAGCAAAGAAGTTGCTCACATTAGTGACAGAGTGCAGTTCTGCTCTGAATGTTGGCTGACATTTTTGTTTCTATTGATGAGTAAGACAAAAGTGAAACAATGAAGATGTATGCCAGAACTTCACTTATTGTTCAATGATGGGAGCAACTTCTTTGCTGAAATCATGATAATTTTCAAATACTGAGAGAATATTTCAATTTTGGGAGGCTACTGACAACGTGACAGCCACAGCCATCAAATGTGTTAAGTTTAATCTTCATTAACATTTTTACTATCACCTTGAGTCTGAAGACAATCGACAGCAAGTCAAGCTCTGCTTTGTATCACTTGACAATCCCCATAGTGTAAACACGCTCACCATGGCTAGTTTCCAGCAACCAACGTGACATCACTGAATGCAGAGCTGAGAAGAGACGTGCAGTATCACACTACTAACTAGTATTTCCACATACGTATCTTATAAGCATTGCTAATAGTAAAACACTGAAAAACGATTAGAAAGGGATGAGGTTTGAGGTTTTTAACTTTTGTTTTTAAAATAATTTAATGGGTGGGGCGCCTGGGTGGCTCAGTCGGTTAAGCGTCCGACTCAGCTCAGGTCACAATCTCACGGTCCCTGAGTTTGAACCTTGCGTGGGGCTCTGTACTGACACCTCAGAGCCTGGGGCCTGTTTCAGATTCTGTGTCTCCCTCTCTCTCTGCCCCTCCCCTGTTCATGCTCTGTCTCTCTCTGTCTCAAAAATAAATAAACGTTAAAAAAAATTTTTTTTAATAAAATAATTTAATTGGAAGTTTATGTAATTTAATTTTTAATAATAACAGTGTTTAACTTCCAGCTCATTAAATACTTGGTATTTCAACAATGGCACTCATCAACCTCATCTAGCACACTACTGACCCTTCCTTTTACTATGGAGGAAGCTGAATGTCCCAGAGGCTGTCACTAATGAGGCCTGGTCACACAGGACAGTGCCAGCCAGGTCTGTCTATATTCAAACCTCTTTGTGCCTCTCTTTGAAACGTAGGTAGCTGGTGACCTACTCACACATCAACACCCAAACACCTTAATGTGAGTGGACTTATCATTTGTTGGGGTAGTCATTGCTCTCCTTCCCAATAGGTGGAATGCAAAACCCAACCAGGCAAGGAGGAAGGAACAAATGGAAAGAGAACAACTACCTGGCACTTTCGTTCAAGAGGCGGCAGGGTCCATTCCCTCCTGAGATGTGGCTAAATTAAGATTTAGCAACCAGCACTTGTGCAACAACTGGTAAAAATAATAGGTCGTTTATTGTTTTTTTTTAACGTTTGTCATTCAGGGTTGCATTTTACCCGTTTTCACTGTATTTAATGAAAACGTTATTAAAGACTCATCTTAGAGGTCACAGCAAAGGACAAATATTAAAAATCAAATAAGTTTCCAAGAGAGAAAAAGAAATGTATCGGAACAAATCACTTAGCTCTTAACACAAACTTGGCCCCAAGTTTGGCCCACTCCTTCTCCACCATATTTTCAAATAGGCCGCCTCTGCCCTCCTTGACTGCCAACTAGTGGTGCCAGGTTGTGGCACATACCAGCTTCACATCTCCCATTTCAAGGCATTTTGGGACAAAATATTATGATAATTAGCATTAAAACGCCGTAAGTCATAAAATCGCTCAGGAGCCATCTTAATTTACACTGTGGAGTTCCAGTACAAAAGTGTTTTTGAAACTTTTTAGACATAGTAGGTTTCAGCAAAAAGCGCGGTCTTACCGAGCGCGCAGAGAGAGACTTCAACTGCACACAGAGCCTCCACAGCAGCGGCGGCGCCAGCGCAGCGAAACGCAACGCAGCGCTTCCAGCCAGCGCCGCAGCCGCACTTGCGCAGTCAGCTACTTCGCGGGCTGCTCAGCCCCGCCCCTCAGAGATGCGAAGTTCCCAGAAAGGCGCCAGGCAGAGAAACGCTCACGCGCGAGACGCGGCCGCGCAGGCGCAGTCAGGGCCACCTCACCTAGCCGGAGCCTTTTCCCCTCCGTGGTCTTTGGCTTGCGAAGTGCCGCTGGGCTTCGCATTTGTTGGAAGGCTGGGGTCGTGGACCCCCGCAAGGTGTCAGCAGCACGGAGGTGCAGGGCGTCGTCGAGGGTGCGGGGCCGGGCGCCGCCGGTGGCGCGCTCCGCCCCGGGGCCCCCGCCACTGCTCTGGGCCAGGCCCTGGCTCCAGCCTCCGTCCCGGCCCCGGCCTCGCAGTTCACCCTGCTGGTGATGCACCCCTGCGGAGGGCAGGACGAGTCTGCGGCGGAGGGCGTCCTCAGGCAGCCTCCGGCCCTGGGGGACGGCGCCGGGACGGGCAAGTCCATTAGGTATCTGTGCGAAGTGGCGGGGGCTGGCGAGGAGGAGGCAGGGGAGGACGAAGCCGACCTGCTGGACACTTCAGACGCCCCGGGGGGAGGCGAGAGCACGGCTAGTTTGGAGGATCTGGAGGACGAGGAGACACACTCAGGGGGCGAGGGCGGCAGCGGGGGAGCCCGGAGACGGGGTGGCGGCGGGGGCAGCATGAGCAAGACCTGCACCTTCGAGGGCTGCAGCGAGACCACGAGCCAGGTGGCCAAGCAGCGCAAGCCTTGGATGTGCAAAAAACACCGCAACAAGATGTACAAGGACAAGTACAAAAAGAAGAAAAGTGATCAGGCCCTGAACTGCAGTGGGGCCGCCCAGCCTGGCAGCGCGGGAAACGTCAGACTGGAGGTATCAGACCTTAGCTGGGGTCTTGGGGAGTGGGAGGTGGTTGGGGGGGGAAACAACACTCTTAGCGCAAACCGCGTTTCGTTTCCAGCGCTGCCCGCCGGCTCCCAGATGGGCCAGGTTGCTATGGCTCGACTTGTGGCAGAGAGTGAGTGAGTGCTTGTCCTAAATTAGAGTTTATACACACACGTGCAAAGCCTTAACCGTTCGGGTACATCCTTGTGAGAGATGAATGTGTCAGTGGAAATGTTGTGACATATCAGCAGACCTGTTATTTCAAAGATCTGCAATATGGGCTGGAAGGACAGGTAGTAAGTGAATGATGTGGTTCATCGCTAAAGGAGCAGGCAAAGAGACCTAGATGAAATTATACTTCAGAGAAGGTAATCTCTTCCTGATTGCATTACCCTATTCACAGCGTACTGTTACCAGTATCCCTATTTTAGTACCCAACTCTTAGTACCCCATTGCTAAGTACTCTGTTCTTAGTGCCCTGGTCTCCCTTAATCTTATTCGTTTGTACTCTGTTTTCAGTAATTCTATTCTCCGTAGGCTTATACTGTCCTCAGTACTCCCATGCTTAGTACCCTGTACTTAACCTTGCTCTCAGTATCCCTTTTCTTAGTACCTGTTCTAACTATCCCTTTTCTTAGTGCCCCTAGAAAGGGAAATGGAATAATAATGGGGTGTAGGTCTCAGAAGATTTTTGGAGTGTTTAATTTGAATTGTTTCGAAGGTTAAAGCCAGTGCTCTGGTGTTGGACTTTGGGCTACAAATCTCCATTCCATCATCATTTGCTGGTGGTGTGGCCTTCTTGAATAGGTTGGTTGTTAAACTCTTAGAAGCTTCAGCGTCTTCATCTGTAAAGTGGATTTTAAAATGGTACCTGGTTTGTAATGTTGCAGTGAACATGTGAAATAGTCCATATTGAGTGTTCACACAGTGTTCACACTATCTAGCAGATACTAAAAGCCAAAAAACCTTAGCCACTATTATTGTCATTATTCGTAGTATACTTGGAAGTTGTTACAGATAAGCAGATATTTCATCTGTATATTTTCTCCTTTTAATAAAAGCTATAGTCCCTCAGTACATTGAAAAATTGAATTTTGGGGGCGCCTGGGTGGCGCAGTCGGTTAAGCGTCCGACTTCAGCCAGGTCATGATCTTGCGGTCCGTGAGTTCGAGCCCCGCGTCAGGCTCTGGGCTGATGGCTCAGAGCCTGGAGCCTGTTTCCGATTCTGTGTCTCCCTCTCTCTCTGCCCCTCCCCCATTCATGCTCTGTCTCTCTCTGTCCCAAAAATAAATAAATGTTGAAAAAAAAAAATTTAAAAAAAAAAAAAATTGAATTTTGTTAAAAATGATCCAGAAAAAATTTTAAACTGAAAGCTGTCCTAGAATGTATTCTGAAAGTCTTTAAATTTCTTAGTTTTTGCTGGACTTGAACAACCTCCTCATTGCCAAAATTTTAGACTTTGGAATTGTTTATAAATGTAATGTTATAACTATTTTTAAAATTTATAGCCCTCAACATCTCACACTTAATTTCCACTAATTAGGGCCTGAGTGACTTCTCTTTCCCTTTTATCTCATTGAGTCTTAATCTGTTTAGGGTAAAAGGATTTATTTGAGAATCTGATAAAACCTAATGAACCCTTTTCCCAGAAAAAATATATACATGTAGGTATTTAATTTGCATACACATTATAGAGTTCAAAACCCCTGTGGACCTGAACCTGTGTCCTTGTAAAATGTATTTTACCAAATCTTAGATTACAAGGAATTATGGAAATAAGCATTTCACTTATTACAGAATGAAAGTAAGGTTGATTTTTTGCCCCCTGTATGTTCCAGAGTTACTCCTGTGTTTCAAATTCACTTCAGAATTCTTCAGAGAGAGAATATACTTCTTTTCAAGAAAGAGGTATTTTACCTATAGTTACTTTTTTTCTTTTAACTGTCCAGCTTTTACATCTACAGTTTGAGGAAAATGTATAAAAGGCAAATAGATACTGAATTAAGTCTCCCCCTCGACGTCCCACAAAGAAGAATCTTAATAATTTTCCTATTCTAAAATAATTTGCATGATTTTTTAGGAAAGAGAAGTAATTGCTATAAGCAAGAATTAATACCCTGCTGTACCATTTGTCTTATATTATGGGACACTTTACCAGTTCTGAGACTTCAAGAGCTGTAAGTCTTTATCTTTGTTGAACTGAGTGTGAAGAAAACCAACAGTGACCATCAGGATATAAGGAGCAACTGTATAGCACTTCTTTAGTAGTGGAAAGGAGGACAGATCATTATAGGCTGAGATACTCTGGAAAGGCTTTGCAGAGAAAATATAACTCAGTATAAGCCAGAAAGGGTGGCTAATAGTTTATGCTTAATCAGCTAAGTGTCTGATGTGCCAGACACTGTGCAAAGCTGTAAATGGAGTGTCACATCCTTTAGCAATGCTAGATAGGTGCTGTATTTCACATACATGGAAACTAAGGCACAGAAAGGTGAAGTAACTTGGTCTAGGTCTTATAGCCAGCAAATATTCAAACCCAAGTAGTCTGATTCTAGAGCCTTCACTCACATAGTGTATCCTCACACAATACTGTTTCCCTCGAATTTGGGTGGGTGAAAGAAAACGAAGCTCATCTTAGTAAAAAAAGGGAAGTGGGAATACAGAAGACACTTTTGGGAAGAAACAGGAGGACCACTCTAGCTAGAGTGGAATATTTATGTGGAAAATTCATGAAAAATAAATTTGGAAAGAGAATTGGAAGCCAGTTTATGTATGGTATTGAATGGCAGGTTATGGGATTTAGGTTTGGAGTCTTTAAATGAAGCTTCTAATTAGGAAGTAACAGGGCTCTACTCTAATGGGATGGTTTAAAGTCAAGGCTTGTAGACTTAGAGACTTTAGGAGATTATTATAGTAGGACTGATGGGCAGTGGTAGGGTCTTCTGTAGTATGAAAAGCAAATTAGAAATTAAGGTTTTTAAAATCATTTACATAAATCAAATAAGGAACAAATATATATAATATTTAGTCTATGCATCTAAAAGTGTATTATATGAGAGAATACATAAAAGGAACTAGGGTTAAAATAATTGACTTACGGGGTTGATCATTATCCTTAAATATCTAAAAGGCTATCGTTTAGAAGAAGCAGTAGGTTTATTTTGCGTAGTTTAAGTAACTAGGAACCTTAGGTGAAAATCACAAGACATATGTCTTTCAGCTTGACCTAAATAAAAGCTACCTAGATGTTGGAGTTACTTAAAACTAAATGGGATGCCTCAAAAGTTGGTAAACTCCTTAGGGCAAAAGGTGTTGAAAATTTTTGAAAAAGGAATTTGAACACTGTAGAAGTTTGGACTAGCTGACTCAAGGTTATTTCTACTACAAGCTTCTGTGTTTTTGTGACATTAACATTGTGAATCTACATAGTGCTTTTCTGGGGTTGTAAGAATAACACCATCAAGTCAGTTTCATTATTTCGTTTCTGTGCACACAAAAATGACATGTAGTTAATCCTGTGGGGAGCGAGGGAGGAAGAAATTATTTTTGTTTTCTCTGGTATCAGAATGCTCTTTTTACAGTTTTTTTTTTTTTTTCCTTTACATTTTGCGGCCTAAAGTGTTTAGGGATTGAACATTTTTGTCACATCCAGTTGATAAACTTCTCATAATGAAAGAGAGAAAGTGGATATTCTAACAGAGAACTCAGAGCCAGTGGGGAAAGAGGTCAGGAGAAGAAAACAGCTTCAGTAACCACCTAAATAAAGAGCAAAGAGGAGAGTAAATTTACATATGGCTTCATGGTAAAACACTTACAGTTTTATATTTGCTTAGTTAGAATTTCTGGGTGTGGTCAGTATTGTATCAGGTTTTCTAAGAGTCAGAATATCTTAGTTAACTACAACAATATTTAGTTATGCCAGGAAAATTGTGAATATTTTAAGATTCTGTCAGGTAACGGGATACATATTTGGTAGTTATTGCTGCCGATTTTGTTTAGTTAAGGATGTCTCAGACTATGGTTTTCATTTTAGAACTTAACTATTTTGACTATACCAATAGCAGGAGATTATTTATACCAGTGCTTTCTAGTCTTTTCAAAGCCAGTTTGTCATTTTTTTCCTAGTGACTTCCAAAGTTTGAAAGCTTCGTGTGTCAGTTGCTTCTTTAATATTTTACTGCTCCTCCTCCCTGCATTTAACTGTTGTTAAATGGGCAAGAAACTATCAGGGTGTCTCATTAGCAATATGTAAATTGCCTTTGAGTTATGTATTTATGACAAACTTTGTTTTGGCCTGGGTGGCTTTATCTGAAGAGAATGTTTAATTTCCACTTGGCATTTTTTGTAATATTGAAAATAGCTAACAAGTAACTCTTTGCTTCTTCCACCTCTGCCCCACTATTGATTTTGAGACCTTCAAGAGACTGGAAATCCCAGGTTGGAAATTGTAGAAGGTGAGGGAGTGAAGAATGTCCTATAAAATTAACTGCCATCACTTTACCTATGACTTAAACAGGGATTTTCCCAATGTTTCACAGGGCCTAAGCAAGAAGGAAGAGAAGCTGAGACCCATTCCTTACATCATTGAAAGCTTACAATCATGGTTTATTACTTAACTTAATCCTATTTGTATTTTTATCATTTATCCCAGGAAAGTACAGATAACATACTCTCCATTGTTAAACAAAGAACAGGAACCTTTGGGGATCGTCCTGCAAGACCTACTCTTTTAGAACAAGTGTTAAATCAGAAAAGACTGGTAAATATCTGTTTGTAAAGTACTTACAAATTTGTGAACAAAAGTTTTTGTAAATAGAATTATGTAGCTTTTGTGATTTTAAAACTTGTTAAACGGTTACCAGGATCGAATTGTTCTTCCACCACACACTAGAATGTCATAATGCTCTCCCAAAACTGGATGAGCTGAAACACCTTTATTCCTATATCTTCACTGACTAAACCTTGAATATCTGAGCAAGATAGGGTTTTAAAAGAGACTTTCTTTGTACTGAATTCTGTGATTTATGGGATAATGCTTTAGTGGTATGGAAGTATAATTAGGCTACCATTTAAGAAAGATCTCTATTATAAACTTGGTAGAAGGCATCAGAATTCAATCAGAAAAAGAGAGATTATTCAATAAATACTGAAATAACTGGTTAATAATTTGAGGACAAAAAAGAATTTAATCATGTCACTGTACGTCAAAATAAATTCCTGATAAAGATTTTTAAAAAATGGCATTGAAACTTTATCTCAAAAATATTTTTCTGGCTTAAAAGAAATAGACAAAATTACAAAGAAATGAATACTATAGTCAAAAATGGTGGTAAAAATGCAAACTTCAAAATAACATATAGGAAAAATCTTTGCAACAAATATAAGAGACTGTGGTTAATATGGTTGACATTTTTAGTTTACAAAATATTTATATAAGTTGATGAGGAAAAAGTTTTGACTTTAATACATTGCAAAAAATATGAACGGGGAAAAAAGCAGAAATGCCACCATTTAATGATACGAAAAGGTATTCAATGTCAGTAAAAATCACAATAAACAGTACAACAGATGAAAATTATTTAAATGATAACAAACAATGACGTTGAGGGTTCCATGAACTAGATACTCATTCTTTTGATGGTATCATATGTTGGTATAATAAGACTTCTGCAAAGCAGTTTGGCACTATGTATCAGAAGTCTCCAAACTAATCATTCATTTAGCTCAGCAGTCATACTTACTGTGGAGATCTTTGCAGGAAATAAATTCTGTATATGGATAAAGTTAAGCATAAAGATGTTGCCAGAAATGTAATTATCACAGTTAGTAAAATTGTAGTTTAAACAGCTTAAATGCTCAAACAGTGTCATAATAACTGAGTAGACTGTTGTGCATTTACTTAATAGAATTTGGGACTATCTTTACAAATACATGTTTTTATTGAAGTATTTTTGACTACAAGTAAGTTTTAAAACCAGTAACTAGAAAATGTACTTTGTTCTAATGTTAAGGTTTTTTTTTTTTGTTTTTTTTTTTTAAGTTTATTATATTGAGAGAGACAGAATAGTCAGGGGAGGGGCAGAGAGGGGGTGGTGGGGACAGAGGATTTGAAGCAGTCTCTGTGCTGACAGCAGAGAACCTGACATGGGCCTTGAACCCACAAACCGCAAAATCATAATCTGAGCCGAAGTCAGATGCTTAACCAACTGAGCCACCCAGGTGCCCCTCTAATGTTAAGTTTTAACATCAGTATTTAATGATAGTATTTCCACCTTGTTCAGTTTATCTTTTTCAGTTTTTTGGAACCAAAGTATTTTTTCTCCTCATCAATTTCTATAAGTATTTTATTATAGTAAAATCATACTAACCAGAGTCTGTTATAGTTGTTATATGACTTTATATTTTAAAATGACAGTTGTACAAAACTGTATATATTTTTTTTGATCAATCATATTCTGTCTTTTCTGAACTTTTGGTAATGTGCTAATATTACTTTTATTAATACCTATATACCCATACACACACACACACACACACACACACACACACACACACACACACACACACACACACACACACACACATACACACACACACACACACACACAGACGCTTTACTTTCTTCAGAAAGACTTAATAGGCTAGTGGGAGAAATTGGATCCTTAAGTGGATTTCCACACTAGCATCTAACGGCCATTTTCACATGTGGCCCCTTTTCATGTCCTTGTTTTTCTTGCTATAATCTTGGGCCAGTGCTATTCTTGGCTGTTTGCTCTTATGTTTCATAGACAATATATATGCTGGCCCATCAATAAAGCATTTCCTTTGTGTTCAAAGTCACCAATAAGATCAGGCTTCACTCACTATTTTTAGGTTTTAGTATTTTGATGTATGACATCAAATTTTATTATTATTAGTTTGCAGTTTAATTGCAATGCATCAGATGCAAGGGTGAATGCAAAGGCATGTTTTATAAGCATATTGTGCCTTGTGCAGGGACATAACAGTAATTTTATAGCATGTGAAGATAATCCCATAAGAATAATGTTAACAAATACATTTTTTCTTTTTAAGTCATTACTAAGAAGTCCAGAAGTGGTGCAATTTTTACAGAAACAGCAACAACTATTAAATCAGCAAGTTTTGGAGCAAAGACAGCAGCAGTTTCCAGGAACATCAGTGTGAAAGAATCTATCAAGAAGATCTACATGGTTTTTATTTTGTTGTAGTAGATGGACATATTTTTATACTAAAGATAAATGGGGTAAGACATGCCAGTGAAACATAAGCAGTCATTTTCCTGTAAATGTATGTGTGCATTTGGGGATAAATAAGTATTGCACTTTGTGCATCTAATCCTTTCAGGTTACCGTGAATTTGAAGAAACAGCTTATCTTTCCAAAATAACATTTAATTACAGTTGTTTTTTTAAACAAAGTGTTCCTCTTCAGTCATAGTTACTGAAGGTAATGGAGCAGTTACTTTCTGTGGAAGTCAAAAAGTTAATAGATACTAATCTTTGGTCATTTAATTCAGTGGTTCTTATCAAGGGTCATCTGCAAATGTATGGATATGTTTTTGTTGTCACAGTGACCTTGAAAACTCCTAGTTTTTTAGTGAATGGGTCAGGAATGCTAAGTGTTGTATGGTGTCTGGCATGGCCCTTCACAACTAATAATTATCTTACCCACAATGCCAGTAATCCTTCTCTTAAGATACACTGATAGTTGTGATACTACTTGTGATGATAAAATGTAGTCAGGGCACCTAGAATTGGATTCTTGTAATAACCTTTTCTTTACAGTTAAGACTGGAGCTGTCAAAGAGGTAAGCATATTTTAAATGTGTAAGGAAAGTGATCATTGTTACTATCTGTGAAATTAGGATGTGCATTTCTTTTCAGGCATGTGCTGCTAAAACCTAGGAGAGGGGTTATCTAAGTACACTGGAATGAAAGCATCTCTTCAAGTTGGCTTCTCACTTCATGTTACCTATTAGTATTGATCTCTTTTAAAGCAGACTTGTGTGTTAAATCTGTGAACGGTATATAGATGTATCTCATTCCACCAATGTCAGGACAAAAAAATTTTTTTTGATACTCATTTTCCTTTTCAGAAAGAGATTCTGAAAGTAAAAATAACACTCCACCATTTTGTCAATGTTTTCCGAAACAGCTAATTTAAGATCGTATTATTCGTAAAGTTCACAGAATGATGGTTAACTGGATAGATAACTTTTTCCTTGTATCTTCTCCTAGGAAAAGTTTTAAAAGTCAAGCCTACCAATAAGAGTAACCAATCAAATGTCAAGAGAGGATTTCCAATGTTAGATAATAAATGTATGTCTCTTAAGTTTAACTGCAAAAATGTGTTTGTTTCTTGGGTTTTAAGCCCTGAAATATGTATCCAGTTAAACTTAGTCATGGCTGTTCTAAGAAGTACTTAAGGAGAGAAAGAATATTTTGTTTATTTTTTATGTGTGGTTTATACCTGCCTATCTGTGCAAAAATAACAGATTTCACCAAAATTATTCATTAAAGCCCAGTTGTTGACCTTTGCATTGTCTGATTCACTTGTTCTATCTTCAGTTTTTTCACTCTGGATGCAGAGGAATTCATTTACATTTGTTATTAACTGTTCTCTTACTTACGGTATTGGAGCTTTACTTAATTCCTACAGTGTAAATAAACTTTTATGGTGAAAAAAAATCAGCTTATCCTTTAAATAGGATAGGAGGCATATGAAAGGAGGGAAAGTAATAGGCCAGGGAGTACTGAATTAAAATAAAAGAGATTGAATTTATGTATATGTAAGTATCTATCTCAACATATACTTGCAGATAAATCACTAAAACAATAAGGTTTTTACTTATTTGGGGGTAGATTTATTGCATGTGTCACTACTAGTTTATCCTTCCATGTGCTCATAACTTTTACCTTATGGCTTTACAGCTCCTCCCACCAGGAAATTGACTTTATTTACCTACCCCTTAAATCTGAACGACTGGCCTGTGACTTGTTTTAGCCAATAGAATGAGTAAGAAATAATATGCCAACTTTGAGTAGATTTCCAAAGATTTTGAATAGTTGCCCTTGTTCTTTTAGAACCCTACTCAGCTGCCTACTAGCCTAGCCCAGCCTAGTTTGCTGGACAAGGAAACACATAGCCCAGGCACCTTAGTTTCCAACAGCCTGTAACAGCCAGGCATGTGAGTGAGGCTATGCTAGACTAGCTATCCCCCAGGCGACCTGCCAGCTGACTGTAGATGCATTTGAAATCCCAACCCAAATCAGCCAAACCTAGCCCAGAACTACAGAACCACCCAGCTGACCTGTAGAGTTGTGAGCAATAATAAATGTTTATGACTGTAAGCCACAATGTTTTGGGGCGGTTTGTTACACAGCATTCTTGAGAGTAGGTAACTGATACACCTAGCTATATAGTTATTGCTGCTTAACAAACCACCCCAAAATCTAGTGGTGTAAAACAACAATTTATTATCTCTCATAGTTCTGTATAGGATTGCTATAGTTTTATTTTTTTATTTTTTTAATTTTTTTTTTTATTTTTTATTTTTTTAATTTTTTTTTTTCAACGTTTATTTATTTTTGGGACAGAGAGAGACAGAGCATGAACGGGGGAGGGACAGAGAGAGAGGGAGACACAGAATCGGAAACAGGCTCCAGGCTCTGAGCCATCAGCCCAGAGCCCGACGCGGGGCTCGAACTCACGGACCGCGAGATCGTGACCTGGCTGAAGTCGGACACTTAACCGACTGGCCACCCAGGCGCCCCTATAGTTTTAAATAGTTGTATAAATACTTTGAAGCTAGGTGTGGCAGGCTGTACTTTCCAAAGATGGCCACAACAAAGTCTCCCATTCCACATGCTCTTATGTGATATGGCCCATTAAGGACTGGATTTTAGGGGCATCTGGGTGGCTGTTATCAGTTAAGTGTCCAACTCCTGATATTGGCTCAGGTCATGATCTCATGGTTCCTAAGATTGAGCCCCGTGTCGGGCTCTGCACTGACAGTGTGGAACCTGCTTGGGATTCTCTCTCCCCCTGCCCTCTGTCTCTGCCACTATACTGCTTGCATGCACACACACGCACAGCATGGACACACTCTCTCTCAAAATAAATATTAAAAAAAAAAAAGAATTGGATTTTATTTTGCTACCCCCTTGAATCTGGGCAGGCCCTATTCCCACTTTAACAGAATATGGCAGATGTAATGCTATGCTAGTTCAATTGAGACTGGAGGAAAGAGGACACAATAAATACATTTATTTATATAAATATAAATAAACTTCCAGCTTCTGTCTTCCAACAAAGTCGGAGATCAACTGCCAAGATAGAGTGGGGGAGTTGATAAGAAACTTTAGGAAAAAGGCAAAAGTTGGAAAGATACATTGAAGTCAATGAGAGATGGCTAATAGTAGTCGCTTGCTAATAATCCCCTGATAATCTGTTTTTCCCTTCTTTCACAGTAATAGAATTTTGTGTTGGGAACATCGCCACACAACAAGATAGCTGATTTTCACATGATACCATGCTAAAGAAACCAAACATAAATGATGTGTGGATGATTCCATTTATATAAAGTACAAACACAGGTGAAGCTTGCTGTTAGAGTTCAGGTGTGGTTAGACTTGGGAGGGGGTAGAACCCAGGAAGAGGCATGAAGAGGCTGCTGGGGTTCTGGTATTATGCCCTAGAGGCCGGGCATGCAAGTGTGTTCTGTTAATGAAAGTTCAGCAAGCTATACGTTTTATATACATATACATCATATTCACATGATTTTTATGTTTTTCAGTATATTGTATTTCAATATTTTTAAGTTTTTCCTTTTTAAGACTATTTATCAGCTGCTCTTGCATGTGAGTAAATTCTGGCCAAGAAAGTAGAAGCAGAATGATGTATGCAATGTCCAGTTAGTGACCTGAAAGAAAGCAGACAGCCCACTTTCCTTCCTCCATCTTGCGTTAAATGTGGACAAAGCAGCAGATCACCTGTAGGCCAAATGAGGTTAATTCACTGGGGATAAAGGAACAAGATAGAAGGACCCTCCTTAGATGGCCTCCATCCATGTGGAGGAGCAGAGCCACCACCCTAGCCTGAAACCTCTTGTTTTTGGATGACTACGTGAAAGAAATGGAATATCCTGTGTCTGCCATGATTATTATGATGTCTCTGTTACATCCAGCCAAACCATATCCTAAATAATACTATGGGTAAAAGGATTGCTGAATAAAGATTTGGAATACTGGAAGCCAGGAATCTGTAATGGCGTTCTGCAGTCCAGCTGTCATGGTAGGAAAAACACGTATTACAGGCTTGATCTCAGATTGATTTAGTGGAAGAGGAGGACAAGGAAGTTAGGATACTTTTGAGTGCTTTCAGTAACAAGATAGAGTTCAGGCTGAGCAGAGGAGAAATGAGGGCAACAAGGAATGGGGTTTTCTGTGAGATTGCAGAGCCAAATGTCAGAAGAATGAGAAAGCACAAGATACGTAAGCTAGGAAACCAGTGGTATGCATCACGATGGATTAGTGACAGCCCCAGTGCTGTTATGCTCTATAACAACATGTTTCAGTGAATCAAGCTCTTTGAAATCATTAGCTATAAGACCATTCCCAGGCTCCCACTAGGAGTGTGATTCAGAGGGATGGATAAACAAGCCTGTAAGATTTAATGACAAATGTCACTCCAGGAGGGCTCACTCCAGGGAGAAACAGAGTGATTTACTTCAGCTCATCAACCAGCAGCTTTAGAGTATTGCAAAAACTTGCTAAGAAAGTGATCATAAAAGAAAAAAGAAAGAAAACTGTAAAATAGATATCTTGCTTCAGAAGTAGTTAACCCGAACTGTGGAGAAAAAGAAGACAACCAACCAGATAGCCCTCAAAAGAACGGTCAAAGGTCATATTGTCAAAAATTATCATGGGCGCCTGGGTGGCTCAGTTGGTTAAGCCTCCAACTTCATCTCAGGTCATGATCTTGCGGTCTATGAGTTCAAGCCCCGTGTCGGGCTCTGTGCCGACAGCTTGGAGCCTGAACCTGCTTGGATTGTGTGTCTCCCCTCTATCTGCCTCTTAGTGCCCTGCTTGCACTCTCTCTCTCTCTCTCTCTCACAAATAAACATACATCAAAAAAATTTTTTTTTTTAATTATAAGTCGTCTATA